TATGCGGGGGAATAGGTAAGGTAGACCATTCATGCCGCTAGTAGTCCAGTCGCGATTATATAGTGTACTACCGCGATGCTTGCTTGTTTGTTGTTTGTTGTGCATTCACGGGACCGAGCACTTTTGTTGCTGGGTGGTTCACGCCCACATACTATATGAATATTTTCTTCGTTTTTAACGTGGGAAGTCGTGTTGGGTCTGGTTTGGAATAATGTGTCTGCTCGCCATCGTCTGTAGTTGCAAGTATGCTGAAATGAAGGCGCACTCGCTTGAAGGATGGATAAGTGCACCATCCAGGCGAACAAGTGTTGTGTAAAGGACGCCTTTTTTCTGGCTGAGCCTGCTGTGATCTGTCACAAGCAGGGCAGGTATTTTCAACCGGAAAGAGGTTTGTGTTTTGTTCTTTTTTAGTTAGCTGTTCGACGAGATTGCCGGTAGCAGATTATTCTTGTGGAGGGATGAGAAAATTGCCCTCTAGGCTGTTGTTGCATTTGTAGTTCGGGCAAAAGTCGGCGCCAGCCGTGCTGAGTTTGGCTCTAGTCAATTGAGACGAATGCCGAAGCTCTGCAAAGTACCGGGTGCGGCATCTGCACACTTGACCAGTTGCATTTGCCAAGCACGTTTCGTCAGTTTCTTGTTGCTGATAAATCGAGCATCATCACGCCGATCTTTGGTTGGATTTGTTTTGTAACTTATGAATACGCTGAGGGGCAAAAGACGCGCTTGTTTGGAGGACAAGAAGTCCGTTTGGGAATGTACAGATACCGTTCATATAGTATGTGTTGTGCCTTAGGCCCACTGTCTTGATAGAGTTAAGTGCACATGATCGTAATATACAAATTTCACCATCAAAGCTCTGGACGCGCCCGACTGCCCGAGTGGGAATGGAAGCAGACTCAAGCCTCAGCGTTTTGCGCCAACAGCAGTCCTGCTGTCTTACGGCCCAGTATTACGCCCCGAGACTGGCCTTTCGACTGATGTTGGTGTGTGCATACGATGCACGTGACTGCGGGTGTCCGGCGAGTCTGTTGCTGTGGTTGAGTGCGCGAGAGACTCGTTGGTCCTACGTCGGAGAACCTAAACGATCGCACAAGAAGGGTCGATTCACCGTGGGGTTTAACTACCCGCAGATGAGCATCACGAATGCATGTATTACGCCTCGCAGGTACCAGGCGGCGTGTACTGCTGTAACAGCGGTTCGGAAATCTTCGAAACGATTGGTGAGCCATCGAGGAGGTGCACAGGCACGTGAAAACGATTTGTGGCACACCTTATTTATGATCGGTGCGTATCCTGTGGGTACGTTGGAGGGGCGGAGGGGGCGGATTAACTCGACAGCACTGCATGAAAACACACAGCAGCCGTCTCGACGAAACCCTCGAGTTGGGTGAGGAATCAAGCGTTCTTCAGTGACTGCTCGGACACATGTGTATCGAGCACCACGCGTAAGCACGAAGTCAGCGAGAGGTGCAAAGCCACCAGACATACGCCCATGTGCGGAGATTGCTTCGAAAACAGGGCGAATTGACCGCCTGCGCGAGAGAACTAGCACGACACCACATGAGTCGGATCTCTGCCAGACAATCACGAAATCTTCATGGACGTCCCACTCGGCTCGTTTGTACAAGCTACAGGTATTATCATAGCTGACATAAATATCAAATTGCGGTCATTTGTCGTTGTTACCGCTGTCGTCTTTGGACGCCGCAGCTAGTGCTCAATACACCGCTCATGAGATGTGTGGCTGTTGTAGCCCTTGGGGGGGGGGGGGG